TACTTGGTTTAAGAATTTGGCACTGTGAACAGGATTCATTGCAATGGCCTAAGAAATCTTAAGGTTTTGTGGGAGAAAAAATGAAGGGGAATGGGATAAAATGTTTCAGCAGAAAGTAGAGCAGCTTCTGGAGTTGCCTGGAACTGATGTCATGCTGGATAGAAAAGACAGCTAATCTGTGGCCAGGGCCTATTGGAATTCACCCTGCCAGATGCCCAAGACCATATGCATATGAATGGGGTTAGTCCAAGGTGGAGGGAAAGATTGAACTTGAGCGTTAAAAGGTTAATGTGTTTGATGCTTTATGGATATTGGCTTCTCCTGCTTATTTTTGTAAAATAGACATATATGTATAATAAGAATATTGGGAATTATGATTACTGAAAGTTTGTAAGCCGGCCTTCAGCCTATACTTGATTGGATTTGCTAAAATCTTAAGGTGGAATCTTGAGCTCCATCCAGAGCTTCAGAGTTGATACATTTGCATTTGAAAAGACATGCACAGCAACCCAGAACTGTTGAAAGAACAATAGATTTGTGATAGAAAGAAAGCAGACATTTTGGCATTTTGAGTTTCAGAGGCTTCAAGGCAAGGAAAGTTGGCCCATCAAAGAAAACCCCCTTCTAGGATTGAAAGCTGAAGGGAACCAAGGAGCAATATGCTTGTTCAAGATCACCTGGGTCTTGTGAATGGCATCCATTGACCTTGAGATGATATAAGAGGGAAGACTCATTGTTTTGAAGTGCAAGGAGGTGTATGTAAGCTCCCAAACTTGCAACTGGTGCTCATTTGGCATAGCTTGGATGTCTAGGATTGTTGAGCTGACTAGAACCTGATCAGATGAATATGAAGATGTTTTGATACTCTGAGCAAGCCTCAGTTGCAACAATTTGATAGACTGGACTTTGGCTTATGGATGCAGTTCCTCAAAATTTCAATCAGAATGAAAGTTATCTTCAGATCAGGCAACCTTCATGTCTTCTCAATGTACTGAGTTAGTTTTGTTGTTGTTGTTAAGTGCCATCGAGTCGATTCCAACCCATAGCAACCCTGTATAGGGTTTCTGAGGAGCAGCTGGTGAGCTTAAATCACTGACCTTGCAGTTCAAATGGCTTTGCAGTCTGGTGCATTAACCCACAGCGCCACACCAGGACAGGGATGGGCAATTTCAACATTGCTATTGCTATGGAAGAGTCCTGGTGTGGTGCTGTGGGCTAATGCATCAGACTGCAATCGTTTGAACTGCAAGGTCGGTGGTTCAAGCTCACCAGCTGCTCCTTGGAAACCCTATACAGGGTCGCTATGGGTTAGAACTGACTTAATGGCACTTAACAACAACATTGCTATGGAGGCATGAAGTGGCTGACTTGACAAATCTTCATGGGTGTGCTTGGTTTTAGAAGGACGGGTTAAGGGGAAAATCCCAGCTGACTAGTTTTCCTCTTTTCCAGATGGGTCTGGTGAAAGGGGGTACAGAATGATGCTGATAAGATTTTATTATTTCAATTTTAATTACTAGTGGTTTTGATTGTGATTGTCAGAACAGTAATTGTAGAAGATATGTAGATAAAAGAAGGGAGTAGTTACCTTTTATTTCAGGAACGGACAATCCCAGAACTATCAAGAAGGAAGAGTGTGCTTGGAATTTGCCTGAAGCAGTGACAGCAGAGGGGTGGTAGAAGTGGTGACACAGAGCATCTATGGACTAGGCCCATGGGCTAAATGAAACTGTGTGCCTACAAGCTGGAGACTGGCTTTGGGGCATTTATGTGTGCATCACATATCTCTGATTTATTCATTTGTGACATATAAGGGGAAAATGGGGCCTGTGCGGTTTCAGTTGTACGTGTTTTAGTTATATTATGTCAGGCATCAGTATGATGCAACCTAATACAAACATAGTTAGGTCTACTCTAGGGACATCCAGAAATTATACATTTATGAGGATTTAAGAATAAATGAAGATGAGACCAATACGTGTAAAGAAAACAAAAGGAGCATTTGTGAGAAATTCTCAAAATGATTCATCTTCAGGAATAAAGTGCACATGAGATTGCTAGACCAGACATAGGTTGTTAATTCAAACCCAGGTATATGTAAGCAGGATGAATTGGGGAAAGGGAGAAAAGAAATCTGTTCTAGGACTAGGAACTTTAAATAAGAATACAGTCCTTAAGACCTAAGACCTGGGCACCATTTGGGCTACTCTGTTGTTGTTGTTAGGTGTCATTGAGTCAGTACTGACCCATAGCGACCTTATGCACAGCACTCTGAGGGAGGGAAAATGGCATGTTCAGGTAGAATTGTAAATGGAAACTGGAACTGGAGGAGGGGCCTTTTAGAGACAAAGGAATGAAACAGTTTGTGCACTGGCCATGCAGCACATCTGCCCGTGTCTCCTGGGTTGGGCACTGGATTTTGCAAAATTGAATAAAGAAAACCTCATTCTTGCTAAAATAAATAAAATAAAATAGCCCTAGCCACCTAGCATCTTATTTCATTGAGAATTTATTTAATTCTGTTTAACAAGAATTCTCTCAACTCCTCCCCTTCCCTTAAAACCTTCATATGTGTATATACCCTTGCATATACAAATACTATTTATTAGCAGACATACATGTCATAATTAATAAAGTAAAAGTTTATTTTTAAACACACTTGACACTTAGTAGCTTTTATCACTATATAGTCATCTGGGATTTTTATTGTTAAGTGCTGTCAAGTTGGTTCTGACTCATAGCAACCCTGTGTAGGATTTCCAAAGGGTTTGAACCACCGACCTTGTGGTTAGCAGTCCAGTGCTTATCCTACAGAGTCACACCAGGAGTCTGTCACCTGGAATAGAACCCACTATCTTATTATAAACTATAATTTCAGGAGCTCCTGATTCGTCATGGACCCTGTCTAGGTACTGGGGATCCAACAGTGGACAAAATAGCCAAAGACCCTGCTTTTAGATAGTTCACATCCTTCACTAGGGTGAGGAATTCTCACTGACAATTCTAAAAGTGTTCTTAGCAAACCTTGTCCTAGACACCTTCATCTCATGTAACCGGCTACCAAGGCCTGCTCGCCCTACTTCGTTCTGCCTCCACCTCTGTTGTTGTGAAGTGCCATTGAGTTGGTTCTTACTCATAACAACCCTGTATAGGCTTTCTGAGGAGCAGCTGGTAGTTTTGAACCACCAACCTTGCAATTAACAGTCCAAAGCTTATCTTACAGTACCACACCAAGACTAGACACAGATGTGTCTATTGTCTTCACCCTGGTTGATAGTTTGATCATTCCTTCATTGCATCAGGATTGGTCTCCTTTTTAACCCCGGGCCACAATGACATTTGTAATCCTTAAATCTAAACATACCTCTCCTCTGCTTTAAACCCTTGGATATCATTGCCTTCAGGGTTAAATTCAGTAGCATCTCTAGGGGAGTGCAGGGGCAGATGACACTAGGTGACACTGTAAGAAGGGGTTAACACTGAAAGAACAGTCTAAAATTTTTCTGCAGTGTTTCAGCAAAAATTCATTATATTTTTGTTAAAATGTCCCTGTGATTGTTTGTAACAACAAAAACATTTTTCGGAAGCCAAGTTTACATGTGTCGATATACCTACTAAGTCTAAAACTCTCTGCTAATTTACTTTTTGAGCCTTCTAATCCCTTTGAGTTGTGGTGTTGGTGGAGAATACTAAAAGTGCCATGGACTGCCATGTTTTGGAAGAAGTGCAGCCATAGTGCTCCTTAGAGGCCAAGATGGCTAAACTTCATCTCTCATACTTTGGACATATTGTCAGGAGGGAACAGTCGCTAGAGAAAGATGTCATGCTGGGTAAGATGGAGGGTCAGAGAAAGAGAGGAAGACCCCCAACGAGATGAATCAGCCAGGTGGCATCATTGATGGCTTCAAGTGTGGCAGTAGTAGTGAGGTTGGCCCAGGATCAGATATTGTTATGTTCTGCTGTGCATGGGGTCGCTATGAATCAGTTCCGACTCAATGGCACCTGACAACAACAACAACAATACACTTGTCAAAGCTTTCATTAACCTATTACAATGATGCTTTGAATCTCATGGTTTCTTCAGCATGTACTACAACCACACACTGTTGTTTTTGTTGCTGTCTGTGCTTTTATAGTCACTGGTTTTGTCAAGTGTTCTAGTGTTTTAGCTACAATAATATGGTAATTATTGTTTGTGAACTTATAACAAAAACTTTTGAGAAGGAAGTAGTAACTGAAGGAAAAGGAGAAATATTAAAAAACTGTCTTTCTACTAATATAACTTAATAATGTAATAGTTCAATGTAGAAAGATTTTACAAAATAGTTTTGTTGTTGATTTTCATGTAATTTATAGCTATATTTATCACAAATTAGTTTGGGATTACAATTGATGATAAACATTAGTAAGGGTTCTATATGGTCTGGTACAGGAGGAGGTACCTGTAGGGGGGCGGGTGTGTGACAACACGAAGTCACCATACTGGGTGACGTCAACCCTAGGGACACCACTAACAAAACTAAAGAGCTAACTTTAGCACTTACTGACCTGGAGCCCTTGTTGTGTAATGGTTAAGCATTTGACAGCCAACCAAAAGGTGAGTGGTTCAAACCTACCCAGCAGTTCCACAGGAGAAATACTTAACAATGTGCTTCCATAGAGATCACAGCTCTACTGTCACATGGCGTGGCTATGAGTCAAAATCAACTTAACAGCATCGAACAACCTCAAATTTTTTTAGCTTGCAGATGATTTTTTTAATATATATATTTCTTTCTTTTTTGACAGATGCTTGCTCAGAAATCTGGCAACATTATCAATATGTCCTCTGTAGCTTCCAGCATTAAAGGTAGGCCTGTCGTCCTTGCTACAACATAAAACTGATACTCATACACATTTATGTGCCATTGGTTTGGGGAACAGGCATTGTGGAGATCCTAAAAGCCACATATAATGTCAAAACTTCTTTTGATAAGTTCTTTAATTATCAGATCTTTTGCCTTAGATATGATCCATTCATATACATATGTTGTTGTTGTTGTTGTTAAGTGCTGTCGAGTCGATTCCAACTTATTGCTACCCTAGTTAGGGTTTCCAAGAAGCTTTTGGTTCACTGCATTATCCTCAGTGCCACACCAGGGCTCCTCATATATTTATATGATTCATAAAATGAAATTAAAACTGTGCTTTCTTTGCCTTCCCATTTTCTCCCTTAATGGGAAATTGAACTGAGAGAAAGAAGCATTTATCTAACTAATTAAAATAAAAAAAGAAAAAGTTGTATTGAATACTCAGTATGTGCTCCTACCCCCGAAACAATTTATAGCCCAAAAGTTGAAAGGCAAACATCATCTTCTATAGTGTGAGTATATTACAACAGAATTTTTACCAAGTGCTGTCAAAAGTACAACAGAAGTAACCTTGTCTGTGGATCTGAGGAATGCTTCACAAAGACAATTGATCTGGACTCTAAATGAGAAGTCAAGTTAAAAGGCTAGGATGATGTGCAAATGGAGATAATGTCATAGTGAGACACAGATGGATCTGTGTCTAGTGTGCAATGGTATAGTTACCACTGAGACAGCATTCCTCCTTGCTGCAAGGTGCACACGTTAAGTGTACATTATCAGAAACATGAAGACAAGAGCCTTGGTCTTTTGCCTTTTTGGTCTTTATTGTATTTTTGTTTACCCTTGTTTTCTTTCAGAAACTACATAAAGATAGTTTCCAAACTGGTGATGAACAAACTAAGACTGCTGCTTTAAATAAGTGGCAGCACCTCAATTGGTGTAACTGTTCAGCACTTGGCTGCTGACCCAAGGGTTGGCAGCTTGAACCCACCTAAAGGCTCCATGGGAGAAAGTTCTGGCAATCCACTTCCATAATCATTACAGCCAAAAAAAACTCCATGAGGTGGTTTTGTTCTGTCAAACAGGGCCACTATGGGTTGATTAATTCAGCAGCATGAATAACAAACACTTTAGTCTCAGTTGAGTTATGTAATATTGATATAATTTTCCCAAATCCAAAAACTAACCCTTAAAAAGGGGGTGGGAAAAGGGGTGAAGGAAATATGAAAATGGTTCCTTCAGTTTCTTGTGTTCCCTTTCTAAAGACCATGTTGTTTATTCCTCCCATTGTTGAATCGTGCCCTCACCCTCAGGAGTTGTGAACAGATGTGTATACAGCACATCCAAGGCTGCCGTGATTGGCCTCACAAAGTCCGTGGCTGCAGACTTCATCCAGCAGGGTATCCGGTGCAACTGTGTGTGTCCAGGTGAGTCATGCATTCAATGGTTGTGAACCTTCTAACATCCAGAAAGATTGCTACCTAAGCTTGTTTGCCACCTATCCTATTAAATTCTGTCACCGTGAATAGTCCAAATGAAAATGAATCTTATTAGGATAGTAGTCCTAAGTTTCAAGTTGGAGAAGTAAGTTTAAATCATTAAGAAAAAGCCATAGATACTACAAAGGATTTAAATGCATCCGACGTGAATAGGGTGACTGAGCCTCATAGAGATCTCTCATTGGACTTGGTGTTTTAGAAGTAGACCAGGGTCATCAGGGTCAAGATGAGTGGACACTACTTGAAGCACAGCAGGAAGAGTGTCGTAAAGTAAGTGAAGCATCACAGAACCCATGGGTCTACTATAATCATGTGAGTGACTCAGAGTTTCCATAAATAAAAAGGCATTAGCCTTTCCTTATGCTATAAAACAGGGCCCAGCAAACTGGCCAGCAGCAGGTCAAATCTGGCTTGGTGGTAGTGGTTGTGTGCCATGGAGTCAGGTCCAATTTAAAAT